TACTAGTTTTGTTTGTGTATCTCTTCGTTTAGCACATCTTCTGATTGCTGTTTGGGCCGCAATTGCCACGAAAGTGTAACGCAAAATTCAGGGCTAAGGGAGATCGACGATGACATAACACATAATGCCCCGTGAAATTGGGCAGTTTTCTTTTACGAGCATGCTGCGTGTGGTATGCGGCAATGCAACAGCTACAGCATCCGCAGTGGCAGTGGCAGTCGCAGAGGCAGACTTACACGCACACTATCTGACGCGATATTGGGCTGCTGCTGCTGCATTTTATCTTCATCTGTTTTATCCGCAAGGCGGGACTACAATAACGTACAGAATTGATCAATCGTTATGCGATTTACATATAAGCCCCACATTAGTGATTGACTTGACTGGGATGGAGCTGCGCTGGAGCTGGTGCTGGCTGGCTGGGGCATCATCTTCATGGCGCATCAGAGTATTTACGGCTGGTTTTGTAAGCCCGTTTTTTTCCTCCGTTTCATCTCTCATTTTTCTGTGAGGGCTGACTACGGCTTCGGCTATTGCCTGTTGGCCATCGTCATGTTATTTATTTATACAATATTTAGTTTGTATTTTTCTTTTGAATTCGTCCGTTCCCGGGTGGTTTTGGTTCGCTTTTCGTTTCGCAATGACCCCAAAAATGTCTCAAATTGTCGACAGGTTGCTGGTCGAAAAGGTGGCCAGGCCAGGAATTTGTTTATAACTTAAACGTGTGTGCATAACTTAGCATAAAATCTAGACACAATTCTCCATTGTTCGAGATGAGTATTCATTTTTGTTTCTTTAGCACTTGCCTTTCGGTTACGTTGCGAAATATTGAATGGAATGAACTTCACTTCCCACCAAAGCCAGCAAAAAGAACAAACACTAAACCGGGGAATTCTTTCTGTTGTTATCCTTTGAGACAATATTTCACACTCGATTCAAGGCGATCAGCGCGACGTTGTGGAGCACAGAACACAAAGAATGGAGCACAGAACAGAGCACAACACGAGGCGGCAGATCTTGGCCAGCTTTACGATTTCCTAGCGATCACTTGGCTGTTGAGAGTTGAGGCGCCGACTTCAGACTAAGCGATATCCGGGCCCTACAAGCCGTCTTCTATGCGCCGCAGACACAGACACACGGACACGAAACCGACCAAAATCCAACACCAACAACCACCAGCAACACCGACGACAGAGACGACAGAGACGGCGGCAACGATTCGGATTCAGACTTCGATTACGATTCGGATGGGCCCCGATCTCTGCCGATCCGATCCGATCCCATGCGAGTTTTGCGAGTGCTATATTCCATCAGATTTTAGTTGCTGTCGAAGCGGAGCGGTGTGTGGCCACTGATTCTTAGCCATTGCATGTTTTTGAGGGCCTATTCTAGGATCTGCGATAAGAGCATCAACTGACATGTTTATTAGCGCTAAAATCTATGCACACAATGCATTCAAATCAATAATTATTATAATTAACAAGCGCCTCTTCCTATAATAAAGTGTATTTTTAAATCCAAAGTGGACTGCCACCTGGAGAATGTTTTGCAGTCGACCATAATAAAAAAATCATAAAAATGTATCCAGTAAATTTATCATCTGTGCGCAGGGCTGGCAGCGGGATTGTGCCTTATGATTGTGCAATTAAATGGCCCCAAACTGCCCGCAGTCAACGTCTGGTGCGGCTGACGAGAAAAGAGCAGTAACAGCCAGCCAGCCAGTCTCCGAATGGCCACTTGATGCACATTTTAGCAGTGTCATTCCTCACACTCGTAGTAGTAGCAGCAGTCACTGGGGGAGACTGCATTGTCTGCTTTAGTACTCACACATAGAAACCCATGCCAAATGAACAGAAGCTTACAGCCGACGTGCCTGACATTTGCCACCAGGCCACCCCATTTGGGACCAGACCTCCTCTAATTGCTCAATCGGAAGAATGAAGACAAAGCAATGAAAACCTGAGAAATTCCAGCTTCATTTAGCTGTCAAATTACACGCCCACGCACTCTGCAACTGCAATTCATTCACATATTTTGGGTTTCAGATACGATTTCGATGGATACGCGTACTCAATTCAGCGTCAGCCTGAGCTTCATTTAAGCTTCCGCAATTGCGAAGGCCAGTAGCGTTGGCATGCCCGACGCGTGCCTGAATCTTATTTGGGTGCTGTTGTTGTGGCGGCTCATTTCAATTGCTAAATATTTTTGGCATTTTTTGAGGAAGATTCTACGCAGCTCTTGTTACGTTAACGATACCCGAACTGAACCCATTTCAAGGCGCGCTAAAAGGCGTTATCAAAGCCAGTCATCGCCAAGAACTTAAATATCTATCTATGTATTTCCATAAACATTTTCGGGCCCAATCAGTTTATCAATCAGTCTATTGTTTCTCCGCAGCGTCCGTTGATTTCCGTACACGTTCAATACGAATTTTCACTTTGTGTCGAATTCAATCGCTTTCAAAGTCAATGTCGCCGCTGGCCTATGGCGGAAACAAAAGACTTCGGACACAAACTTGCCGCAATGCCCCCAGCATCGTGTTATATTATAGATACATATGCGGCTATTTAACGACTTATTCGATTAGAGTTGATTTGTGTTTATTTATTTTCAAAGCATCTTTACATGGAAAACTACAGCACAACGAAATGCAAATAAAAACACACACACTGGCAGCCACTTTTCGGATATGATTTTGGGGGGAATAGGAATATCTTTGTTGTATATGATGCCATTATACGCTTTTAATGTTTTTGAACTTGACAAGATATCCAAATTTGCATGATAATGATTGTATGTTTGACTATGAAAGAATAAATGCTGCCTGTTGCCTGTTGCCGCCCCATTAGAGTATTGAGCAAAAACATTCTTAGCGCTCTTTTTTTTCTGCACTCTACTCTTGATTATGTAATTTCGGATGGACTTTTTGTGGCAATCGCCAGTGTACATTAAAACTCAATTAGTGCGTAACAGTTGGAGAACATTGGGTAAAAACGCAGCCACACAATTGTTGGCAAGTTGGTAAGTAACTGAGAGTATGAGTCCGAGGTGAACTGAGGCTGATTGGAAATCAATGAACCAACGAACTGGACACACAGCGGATGCTGGCAATGGCCTTGACCATAACACTTAAACGCCAAAAACCTTCAAACACAAGTTGCTGCTTGTTAGTCTCAGTCTCAGTCCATGCCCCTCAGTCTGATTCTCTTGGTTCCGACTCGGACTCAGTCCGAGTTCAGTCAGTTTATTGAATTTAACGCATTAAGGCAACTACTGCACAAGACCATTAATAAACAGCTGAAAGTCCAAACTGGGTGGCGGCCTGAACTCCGCAGACGCATTCGAGTTTTTTCGACATTGAACTGCACAAAGCACACATCTCACATCTCCTTAATGACGATGACAGTCCAATCGCTATTGTGAATCCAGCACACATGTCTTCTCTTCCGGCTCTTCCGGATTTATTGGCCTAGCGCCGAGAGCAGGTCTAACGGTGACCTGACGACCGCATCCGAGCAAATTGTCAAATTATGTTTAATGAGAAGTAATTCGGGTATGGCCATGTGGCGTGGCGTGCACTGGGTAGTCGTAAGAGTACAAGTGTATCGTGTAATTGAAAGTGAAAGCCGAGAGCAGACGATACAATAGTTTTAGGGTTATAAAAATCACCCACAAGCCGCACTGGGCTGAGGCGAAGTTTCGGCAAAACCAGTTCGTTGTCACCTGTAAAACAGAGCCGAACACACAAACTGAAGCATGGGCATATAAATTTCCTCATCTGGCAACGATTTGTAGGCAGTCAATTTGCATTTATTCAGAACGGGTAAATAAAATACTCTCTAAGGTGTTTTATGGGACCTGGACCAACTCGCTACTCCATGGATAAAAGACAACCATCAAAAGAGCTGCGTTAATCATAATACACATCACCGCTTTAGTAATTTTGTATGGTTAAAATGGGCACGACAAGCCAAACTACTTTGAGGACTTACTTTATTAAAAATATATAATTTTAATACGACAAGCCAAACTACTTACTTTATTGAAAATATATAATTTTAATACAATTTGGGAACTAAACTTTTAACTTAACGTAGCCTCACTGTAGCCTATTTTTGTTACCGTTGAACTTGAATTTTCGCAAAGCCTCCAATCGCATTTACTTAAATGACACGTGCGCGGTTCTCTCAAGCATCATTTTCGATTATTTGTGCAAAACCTGAGAAGGTTTAATGATCTACAGACACGATAATAGAAACTGGCACACAGACGAGTAGAACACAAGGCAGCGGTGGGAGGCAGACTCAAGACTAGACCACGACTCGGGGGACTGCTCACTCCATCAAGGGGGTCAAAGTCAACAATCGCATTCGCCCAGTCATCAGCAATAGTATGCTGTTACCTCGCCGACCAAATTCGCTCCGCCAGTCTGAACTAAACTAATAACCCCGGCGAAGATTTCTTGTTCTCTATGACGATATTTATGAGAAGGCATTAGGGTGATGGCAATCGTTGCAAAATCCAACATTAGCATATTATTATATATTAGCAAATTTTTGCAGATACATCTTTAATGATGCAAAATTATGATTATGAAATGTTCCTTGGCTGAGAATCCCTGCTACAGGTCGATGAAATTACGCATTACGAAATCAGACTTCAATACAAATACAATTTAGAAGTCTTCTCTTTATTTATTTTTTGCATACGCTAAAATTTATGAGTACGATGGTAGCTGCTGTGAAAATAAGCACTGGTACGAGTATGTGTGGGATTGAATTTAGAATTCAACGTCAATTTCGAACTCGTAAAACGTTTTAATTGTTCCATATAATCCTTACGATTCTAAGCTCATCTAATTATATAACTTAAAAACGGAATTTGCTTGCCTCTTGTTTGCCTTTTCAAAAGGATTCGAGTAACCCTGAGCGAATGCCACGCCCGTCTGACAAAGCAATCCCTTTGATTAACTAAAGATAGAAATAAGTAAACGAAATTTGAATTTTATAAATACTTGTACATATATTAATTACTCTACTGCAAATTTCATTCGATAATCAACTTTTGCTAGATTTTCCTTTTGTATAATGAACGATTTTGAATTTGATGATAAATGCGCGTAAATTATGTTTGGAATATGGATCGGGTTTTTATCTATTCATATAACAAGGTACAGATGCTCACCAAACTCTAAAAATGGTTGCATTGTAAAAGTGCGCTAAATCGCAGTAATGTGTATGTGAATATACTCGTATGTGTGGGATTCTATTTATATATGATTGTATGATTGTATCCTCAGTATCCACATCAGCTTCTAGAAGGTAACAGGCTCAATCGGCACGGTGCATTCGCTATACATGACACGGTACATGGCCATCTCGGAGATGCCATGATAGTGCACAAAGGCGGCAGCAATCACAAGGATGTGGAATATCTGATGCGATTGTCCCTGCAAAATAATATTTATCCATTGAGTCAAGCATTTTTCTTATCTCAAAAAATAACCCAAACCGTACCCAGATGTCGAACTTTCCAGGGAACCAACGCTCGGGCACACGTAGAGCATACAGCAGAGCACCGATTATGTAGAGTAGACCTAATAGAGAGACGAATTAATATTTAATATATAAACATTCTCTGCATATGCAAGTTACCCATGAGAATAAGCCAACCCAAACTGGCACGACTCATCTGGCTGAACCAGCCCTCCATGACGCTGTAGTGAATGGCTGGAATGACGCCAGACAGTCCAAAGCTCATGAAAACGCCAGCGCGCAATGGACGGAGTGCTGGCTCCGAGAACTTATCCCACAGTGAGACAACGATGGAGAGCACGCCCAGGACAGAGACCACAGAGAGATAAATCACCTTTGGCTGGTAATGACAGTAGAAACCATAGTACAGCCAAGGTACAAAAGATCCCATAATAAGCAACGCAATTCCACAGTAGTCGAGCCTGTGGGTAAACAAAATAATTAGCAAAAATACACTTACAAAAACATGCACGGAACTCACTTTGAAAACAGTCTTCCCATCTCTACAGAGTGACAGCTTAGTGTGTGGAAAGCAAATGAGAATCCTAAACAAACGATGGCCCCGATAAAGAAGGCGCCAAATACGATTTTCTCCTGTGTCTGAATCTCCACTGAGGGACGCGTAATGAAGTAAACAGCCACGCCAATGAAGGCAATAAAGCCCAGCAGATGTGTCCAAATGTTTCCCGTTTCCGTGTGAATGCGGAAAATCGATTTGAAGCACGCCCGGAACGAGGGCAGCGGTGGGCGATGTCCACGGTGTAGAAAATCGTTATCCTGCAGCCATTTTGGTAGATTTTTGTAGTGGCACACCTTCCAGCTGGCCTCCCAGACCTATACACGTCAGAGAAAGTTAATTATAAACGTTAGTGAACTGGTGACTAAAAGTTATGGGGGGTGGGTTCGAGTATGGGCTTGGGTCAGGGGCATAGTTTCAACACAAACCAAAAAACAAAGTACAAATTATTTATATATTTATTCAAAAGAAAATAAAGTGCAACAATGTCACGGAATATCACACGAAAAGAGGAGTTCCGCTTGAGCCACAGTTCATCAATTATTGAAAATACTTACCTTGCGTACAAATTCCTCGGCCTGCTCAGCGGCATTGTGAGCCAATGCACCCAAATCGATCTCGTCCGACAGCACACCAGCTTTCAGCACTTCCGTCATCTAAGGGAAGGAAACGATATGGGAATTACATATGCTTCGAACAATAAAAAACAAAAGCTTAAACTACACATTCAAAACGTTAAAACGAAAAGCAAATGGGACTGACGTCTTTATCGATGGCTTGACGCTCAATTGTATCCTCGTTCTGGTTCTTCTTTGGTGCCTCCTCGTTCGAAGCCTCACTCTTTGGTTCCAGATCCGGGTCAAAAACACTCAAAACAACCTCCGGCTGGGACTGCTGCTTTTCTGGCATTTTGAGCGGCAAACAGAGATTCGTTTAAAAACTAAATCTAAGTGTGCGGTACAACGAGCGTTTCAACTTTGAAGAATCTGACTGTCGCATACTTAGTTGAAACGGTTTGTATAAACTTTGGTTGGCGGAACAAGACGACAACAACAGCAACAATAACAAATGCGCCTGGCGATAAGATAGCGCGCCCGAAGCTGCCTCTCTCTCCGTACCAAACGACCCATTATCAGCTCCACATCTGACGTTGTTTGGTTATTTTTCCCACAGTGTACGGGCTGAGCCGTATCCGTGATTGAAAGTATTGAGTGAACTGTTTAACGGAAATGCCTTTAAAACCTTTCCAGTGTAGTTATATGTGTCGAATGTTCTATATCTTTTGCAATTGCCACCTGTGGCAATAAGGCAATATACACGTTGTGGGCCTCTGCAATAGTTCCCCCGATAAGGGCAGTCGTCGAAAACGACATTCAAAAGACTGCAGATACTTGGAGTACCCTGCCTGCGGCGTGCGCTCCCTGACTGCGACCAACAAAAAGGCGATAAGAAAACGCGCCGCCGGGTCAGCGATAAGGGAAACACAGCACTTGACTGCGCAAAATTATTTTTGCACAGCTGTTTAGCGTAAACGACAGGGACGAACTCAAACGGCGGGTCAACTCACCTCAGCCTCGATGAGCTGTGTGTCCTCCGGTGTGGAGGGCAGTGGACATCCGGCATCATCCTCCTCGCCCAGCTCATCGTCGTATTCCAGCAAATGGAGATCATTAGTGCTGAGAGAGTCATCTGGTCCCCAGCCGCGTCGCTTGCGAAGAATCATTTGTACCTGCTCGAAGATATCTTCCTCGGCCTCATCGCTGCCGTGATGTGTGGCCGTTGTGGTTGCGGTGGTCGCCGCACCCGCAGACGATTGCCCAGACGAGTCCAAGCCAGTGGTTGCAGTGGAAGTCTCCTCCACCTCGGCTGACAAATCGCTGACCGACTTCTTGCGATCAAAAAGATCCGTGGCAGATTCCATGACAGTCCCTTTAGCTTCCCAAACAAAAAGTTCTGAAATGTAAGAGTTCCAATTATCACAAGATATCACATTCTAGAAAGCAAAAGCCTGCTTGCTTTTTCTGTGTATTTTATAGGGGAATTGCTATATTGCGGCAATGTCAATTTGATATGAATACAAATGTGGCTCCCAGCAACAGTCCAAGTGACCTTTGTATCCCAGCTGGTTCTATAGCGTACGGACATGGCACAAGTATGAGTGTATGTGCTTTGTGTATTTTGTATCGTTTAGCAAGTTGGCTGCCAATTAAAACTTTACATAAGATGTGGCAGAGCGTTGTCAACGACAGCAGGAGTGGTGGACAGGTGTCCAATGACAACAAGGACACTCATTGATAACAGCCACATGACACTCATTGAGAACTTCGGCCACAAGGCCACGTGAGAACCACCAAGAGACACTTTGGATGCACATTACTTTTCTCCACCTGCGCAGTGCACACAACTCAGTTTTCTCAGTCCATTAAAGCCAGCACGGCCACAACAATTAAGAAGTGGAAAAGATTTCACTCGATTCGCCATGCGTCACTTACATATTTATGCGCTTCCTGAAGCTTGCGCTGCTCTTGGTGTAACTCCAAAGAATCTTCGAAGTTAGCACTTGGCCCAGTTAACAATTTTTAACTTTAATTTCAGGATTTAATTATTTTTCAGAATGTTTCAGTGTAACCGCGGACGTCTCTGTAAAATGGTCGTCCGACCCTCAAAAATATACCTAAATAGACTTTCTCATTTGGAAAATATACCGAATCTACAAATACGCAAAAAATGCGTATTTCTCAAATTTGATATTTATTTAATATTACTAACAAGTTACACCTCTCAGCCCTGAAGCTAAAATTTTATCGAATTGATGAAAATAGTTTCAAGCGAAAAAGGTTAAAAAAACCATAAGACGTAACGTATTTAAGTAAGAATGGAATCTTACGTCATTTGCCCGCTTCTTGCTGGTCAGCTGGTCAGCTACTAATGTTACTATTCTGTTTTCCAAGTGGATAGAAAATATTAATAATCACTTGATTTTAGAATGTTCTTACTGTTTTTTTGTATAAATATATCTAATTCTCAAAAACAATATATTTGTAAGCTGACGTTATCGGGAATTGACTTAGATAAATAGACATGATACTTTTACAGCCTGTATCGTTAGCACTGTTAACTATTGATAACATATGTTAACCAACAGTACATACTGATACACTCGCGTCTATCGGGGCACGACTCGTTTTTGTATACAGCTGTATTTAGAGTTAGCGCGGAAATTTAAACTTTAAATTTAAAAAATGGAAACTACGCAACTGGCAGTTTCTTTCAAACGCGCACAGTTTTAAATCACTGCTAATGATGGCTGCCAATGTATAGAAAGTCCATATGAGAGGCGTTTTTTTTAGAGCTTAAAAATGTTTACTTTCCCATTTGTCTGAAATGCTCCTCTTAACAAATGGCAAATAAGATAAATCATACATTACAAAGTATCTACAATGGGAATATTTTTTAAATACCCCTTATATTTCTATTAGTTTACACAGAACATAAATTAAAATATACCCTAGAATATCTACTCAAATTGTAAGACTCTTTCTTTCAAATTCAGACTCGATTTTCACCGTGTACTTCCCCAGCAACGTCCAAGAATGAACTTGAACTCTTCAGACTCAACCTTAGAAACTAGGCCATTAACATTAGTTAATCGATGGTCTGTGGTTGTGCTCTCGACTCGTCGTTCTGATAAGCCCTGTCAGAAACTTGGCCAAGGATCGGACAAAGACTTGGCCATAGACTGTAGCTAGCGGTAGAAAATCGATAATATTATATTATTGAGTAGCTGAAGTTCAGGGTCTTCATCACAATATCACAAAAGAGAAACGCCGACCATAAACGCCGCTCGAATGACAAACGAGCGATAAAAAATGCAAAACGGTTATTTTGTTGCCATTTTCAATGTAAGTTTTTGTTATTTTTTCACGAAAATGCTAAAGACCCGGAAGATTGTTCCGCTGCGTTGCCGAAGCAGACGGAAAGTGCACGGACTTTGGCAAACATTTGCCCGGACACTTAGCAAGTGGGTGTGGCCCCGGCCCCTGACCGACATTAGTGGAAAGTGAGTTGAAATTTCCCATCCTCTTCCACCATCAATGGAGTGGCAAAGTGTTTCCCAAAATACTTGAATGTGCTAAGTGGATGGATTTGCGTAAGTAAATAGACCGTAATAAAGACGGAATCAGTGTCCGCGTCAGGTCTGGGCTGGGGCAGTGACGAGTGTCATATGTATATGTAAGCCTACGATTGAGTCAGACTCAATGTGTGGACTGTATTGACGTGACAACGATAACACATCAATTGTCTAGCGGTTAATTTAAAGCCAAACATTATTTCGTGTTTCGTTTACCCCCTTTTCTCTCCGTCTCCGTCGTCATCTTCCTTTTCGGTTTCTCTTTTGGTTTTTATTTTATTTGTTGTTTTTGCGATAGGATCTGCATGTTTTGTTGGCCAATTTGGGGATAGGGTTAATAAACTTGTTCAAAATAAACCACAGAATTGGCAGAAAAGCGGAGCCAACAGTTTTGCTTTCTTTTTGGCCAACACATTCGCTTTAATGGCTTCAAACTTGACCTTACCACCGGAGATCTGAAAAACTGAGCAACAAAACTGAAAACTAAAATTGGCCATTAACGCGGCTTCGACTTGCATTGGCATCGGGTCGAAAGAAAGACACGAGAATATGCTATATCTATGTGTAGACACACATGTGTACATATGTATTACGAACTGCGCAGCTGAAGTCGACGCCAGCAGCAGAGCAGCAGGCAGCAAGCAGCGACGTCAGCGGCTGAAACATGGACAGCACGGAGCCCGGAGCCCGCGAAGCTCGTTCATTTTGTTTATTTATACAGCCGAGCATGTAGAACTCCATATTAGTGTCTTCTTGGCGTTGGCCCCAGTCGAGTCCGAATCTCTTCCAGCGTGCGGCGTGTGTGAGTGAGTGAGTTGATTCCTCGGAGGGAACCCCATACGCGTACGTGCAGAAATAAAGCGAAACCCCTCTCTAGAGCGGCCAGAACAGGTACGGAAGTGAGAATTTTTGGGACATCTGAGGTGTGAAAGTGTTGCATAAATTAGAGAGCAAGTTTTCGGGGACGGGAAAGTCCCTAACCCAAATTAACAGAAACTGGATTGCTCAGCGAACAAAAGTGTGCACTCGACTTGACCAACTTTTTTCTGCGTTTTGCCTGCTCTTTGGACAGTGTGTACTCCTCTGATGACAGTGGTGGTTGTGCTGGTGCTGGTGCTGGTGCTGCTGAGGGGACCGCTGGGGACCGCCGTCTGTCTGAGATTTTCTAGTCGACCTTAACCCAATGTATTGCACATAGATTAAATGCTAAAAACTGGCTTGAGAAGCTGCAATTTTGCCAGTCAGCCAAGGCCAAGACTCTGGCAGCATTGAGGTGGCCAAAACCAAATGTTTTGAACTTGCAATCGATTTCAATTCAATTTGCAGCTGCATCAGGTGCCTGGCCTCCATCTGCACCCCATCATTGTGCCATTGTGTGTACACCCGACCCCACCGGCCATGAAATCATGGTTAAGCAAACATATTAGATGACCATTTGTACCTGTTCCCTTTGCAAAAGTTACCATCCGTTCCACCCATCCGTTACAGTTCCCAAAAAAACAAAAAGAAGACAACAACACACACACTGACTTTAAAGAGCCGAAATGTTGAAAATTGTTCGAAAAAAAACCCAATTAACGTCGCAAATATTTACCCAGTAATTAAAGATTGTCAGAAGAGCGTCTGCCCAAAGAGTCTCTGGCACCAAACCGAACCAGACTCTGACTCTGGCGCTGGGCACCGTGTTAGCTATGGATTTCGCTGTGGATATGTGGATGTGGATATATGGTTGCCAAGTGCTCGGCTGACTCGGCGGAATGGGCTTACTGGCTGCCTTGCCTCCTCTTTAAATGCCTCGGCTGGCAAAAAGAAAAAAAATTAATTTACTGCGCTAAGCAAGCATGAAACCATAAAACATATGCACTTGACACAGCCAGAGCTAAATGATTAACCTGTTGCACTCCCCCTCCTCTTGTAACCCAAAACGAAACGAAACGAGTGGAGTCGAGTCAGAACGTGCCAGTGAGGGTTGCTAGACCCTTTGGTGTACCCTCTACCGTTGCATGAACTTAAGAATTAGTTACATTATGGGTCTTTCACTGAGTTCTTTTATCTCCCAACACACAGCTGATAGTCATCGCGATGGGGCTAATGCATTCGGGAACTTCACATGCCTCGCTGATTGTTTTCATTTACACAACACAAATGCGTGTGAAAATCGTGTTGTGATGACTATAATCCATAGGAAAACATCCGCTCTAAACACATGAGTCTCGTCAAACATCAACACTTGACGGCAATGTATCAAGATCTTTTTGCCGTGCCGTGCCGTGCATTTGCCAAATGCAATTATGCATAAACGAGACACATGCAAAAGCTGCAATCTGTCGCCTCATTAATAGCACACATGAATCACAGATGGTTTGTTTGGTTGGATTGGGCAATGCATAGAAGACTAATGCTAATGCCCTCCATCGGCCTTCATTAGATCCGAAATTAGTGGCAAATTAAGTTGTTTTTTTATATTTTCTTTGTTTCATGTTGAAAAATCATATAAATTAACGCCTTTAGCGGGGCTTTTTCGCAGTGTCCAGACAGCTTTTGGGTGTTTAGATACTCGTACTTTTCGCATTAGTCACACAGACAGAGAGCCAAAAAAAATGAGAACCAGAAACTAAACCTAAAATTGAACGACGGATTGTTAAAAATTTCAAAATGTTCGGTAGACCCATGTTCGAGTACAGCACTCGTAGACCTGGGGGGCTGGGTAAATCCACTTCGCAGTCGCGATTCTGATAATGCTGACAAGGCGTTCGACAAGCACCTCTGAAAGGGTATGAAATTGGCAAAAACCAGAATCAATTATGCATACAAAACACATATTTTATGCGTGCGTGGCAGTCTGCCCCTGCGGCCACCTCTCCTTGTTCGATTCTTAATTTATTTGTTCCTATTTGTTGAGCTGCTTAGTGTCGAGTGTCCAAGGCGGGGCAGCCGGAAGACTCAGACTTTGCCTCAGACAGAGTCCCAGAGTGCACCAGCAATGGTCCGTCGGCCTTTGGGCTTACAAAAGTGTAGCAAAAGACCGAGACGAGTCTCAGGCAAGGCTAACACGAGGATGGGAGCTCCGTGAGCGCCTAAAGTGGAGAGTGATGACATGACAGGAGGACAGGCGGTGGTGACAGCGTCAGCAGCCAGTGGAACGGGTGACTGCGACTTCGACTGACTCAGGCGTCGTGTCGATTGGCGTCACATTTTTGGTCGTGATGATGCTCAGAGCTCACTTTTCCTGTCTCCAGTGTCAATCTATGGGTGCCAAGTGCCTTGCATACGAATGGGTCTAGGAATTGCTTACGGAATGGCCAACAGAATGGGAATGGGAATGGAAATGCGAATGGGTACACGGGTATGGGGCTGTAACCCTGACAGAGACCCAGTCTCAGTAGCTGTTGGCAGTCGCACGGTTGCAGTCCACAAAATATCAATCATACGCCGTGTACAACCAATTAGTGGCACTGGCAGGTGGCAGCAAATTACGACTTTCAATGCGAAGGCTCTCCTAATTC